GCGCATCGGCGTGCGCGGGTGCGCACCCGGGGTCCCCTTCCAGATCTCCTCGGGGAGTATCCAGGGATGCCCAGCCTCAGGAACACTTTGCGCTCTCAGCTCCCGCTCGTTCACGCGCCACTTCGAAGCGTTGATCGGACCTCCCAATCTCGGTCTCGTGTGGGCGTGTGCTAGCGATAGAGGAAGTGCTGCATGTCGGTTCTCCGCTCTGAGGCGCCCCCACATTGCGCCTGGGCCCCGCGATAGGGTCGCCGACGTCCGACCCGAGGACCACAAGTGCTGCGTCGTCGCGTTGGTTGGCCAGGTTTTCCCCCGAGGTCTCCAGGGCCTATTATGGCTGGATCTCCTCTCGCGTCCCCGGTTGGTGCGGCTTCCAGGTCGTCAGCCACTCACGAGTACATCGGCCGCGTGTGCGGCCCTGGCGCGGGGCGGAGCTCGCGGGGCGGCCCCAGTTCCGGATTGGTTCTGCGGGCCCCTCGCCGTTGCTGCTGTCGGCGCCCACCCCCCGCCCTCGCCTCCTTCGCGCACGCGGGCCGCGCGCTCTCTACGCTCTCGTGTGTCAGCCAGCCCTGTGCTCTGGAGCAGCGCTTGCTCGAAGCAGTGTTCCGTGTGCCGCGCGGTTGTCTCTCCGGCAGCGAGCAGTCCGAGCCTCAAAGAGTCGCAGCACTGCCAAAGTTGCCGTGGATGCCGCCATCGAGGCCACATTCGAAGGCCGAAAGGCCCCGGAGACAGCGCCCGACGTCCTCCGTTCCCGCCTCTTGCCCATGACTCTCGCTCGTGACTTTGCCTCTCGCCTCCTCCATCTCTACCCCCAGCCGGCGAGAGCTATCGCCCGCGCCCCGTGGGCTCGAGCGCAGTCTGCCATCCAGCTATGTCCAGCCAGTTGGGGCAACGGCTTTTGCAAAACGTTGGCGGGGGGGTGGTGTGCCGACTTCCGTTTTCAGTCCGCGGCCCTTGTATGTTATGTTGGTCTGGCCCCGATTCCCAGTCTTATTGCACTTTCTGCCCGCGAGTTCTGAATCTCGCTGGACGCGTCGTGCACCAGCCCATCTCTTTCTGTCCCATTCATCGCCTCGGTCTCCCAGAGCCCTGGCCCATAGCGGTCAGCTGTTTAGTTTGTCGCGCCAGCTTTACTGCATGGCCCAAAACCCAGCCCTTCCTTCCTCTGAGTGTCGCTGCTGCCGGTGTTTTGCTCCCCGCCCTCTGCCCACCCCACCCCTGGCTTGACTTTCCCTCGCCGCTCTTCGAGAAAGCATCACCTCGGGCGCCAACAGCTCACCAGGCACCTCTTTCAGACGCGTCGCCCCTGCGGCTCCAGCCAGGCCGCGCCGCTTTTACAGCAGCGGGGGCATTAGTAGCCGGCCGCAGCAGCAGTCTTAGTGGCAGTAGCAGCAGTTGTGAATGATCTAGGTTCTGCCCTGGGCACGAGCGCAGGAGGAAGAGAAGGCGGGGGCGGCACGGGGGCAGCACGGAGGAGGAGGAGGAAGATAGTAATAATGATGACGGGAGTACGAGGCGATGAGGACAAAGAGGAGGAGGAGGAGGAGGAGGAGGGAGAAGAGGGGAAGGTGAGACAAGGAGGCGAAGGGGAAGGGTGAGCCAAGAGGACGGACAAGTATACAGGAGGAGGGATGAAGAGGCAGGAGGGATGATAACGATGAACAGCTGTGAGTGGGTAGGAGGCCGGGTCTTCTACTGAGGCCAGGTTTGTTCTACGACGGGCGGGGGGCGAGAGGCAGGGGGCAACGAGCAACCCCAGTGGGAAGTTGGCCTGGGCGGTCCAGAGGAGCCTGGAGAGTTGACGACAGATCTTGTGTAATGGAAACCCGAAGCGGTTGCAGAGATGACGGTCTGGCGCAGCGCCAAGATAATACCAACGAAAGTATACTGATGAGGAGGGGAGGAGCAGCAGAATGGAGAGGCGGATCATCACATGCGCATGTTAAGTGTATGTGCCGCTGGGAGGCGCGAAGTTAACCGCGCTTCGCGTATCGCGGCTTGGGTCTGAGAGGCGCCCTTCTCCAGGGCGGCGGCGCAGGGGCGCGAGGGTAACCGCGCGTCAAGGCCACCCAGCTAATCCGAATTTGTGCCGTCGATGTGTTTGTGACTGCGCGTGCTCTGGCCATGCCCAAAGCCCTCATCCGCGCTTCTTTTCGCTGGCACCAGGACCGGGGCATCATGGCGCCGATAACGTTGGCTTGGAGTGTGTCGGTGATCCTCAGGACCTGTGTTAGCCCAATGTGTGTGTTACCCCTTTCAGCCCAGCCAGTAGATCATTACATCGCCTGCGTCGTATCGAAGGGCCTCGATGGACAAACACACGTTGGGGCTAACACGCGTTCTGAGGATCATCGAGTGTGGGGGGGATGCTCTCCCTTTCCCCGTCTGTGGGGATGCGGTCAGGAATTGTTGCCTGTTCCGAGTTTCTTGATAAGCGTCGGGGGGGCGTCATCCTCGCCGACAGCCCCACATCGACCCCCGTCGCGGGCAGCCACCGCGCCCCGAAGGCGCTCCGACCCCCGTCGCGGCGCGACGACGAGGCGAGGCTGACCCCCGTCGGGGGCCCCCCCCCGCACGCATATTAAGAAACCCAGAGTGGCGTTGTGCGGCGCCGGGCCGGGCCCCCCAGGCTTCGGCGCGACAAGCCGAGCGCACTCCAGCTCCCGGGCGTCCATGTCCCGAGCCCTCCGAGGCCTCCCGCCGCGCGGAGCGGCGCAACGCGCCATCAGCCCGCAGGGCGCGCTTGGCGTCGCAGGGGCCGCCAGCGCCACACGCTGGGCCAAAGGTCGTTGCGCGCGCGCCGCGCCTGCGGGCGAGGCGGAGCTGCGCGAGGGCGAGGTGTTGTCCCTGCCCTGCGAGGGCAGGCTTGTCGTCAGCTTGCTCGTCCCTCCCTTCCCCCGGGCGGGCGGCGGCACCCGCGCTTGTCCCGGTGGCTGTCCCGTGGTTGTGCTGGGGCGATTCTGTGGCTGCTTTGTGGCTGCCCCGCGCTTGTCCTGTGGTTGCCCTGTGGTTATCCGGTGGTTGCCCCGTGGCTGTCCAGCGGTTGTCCCGTGGAGCCGCGGTCGACCCGCGGATGTCATGTGCTCGCATCGTTGGTTGGTTTGATGCGAAAGAGTGGTCGCTTGGAGGGGGGAGGGGGGGTTGGGAATTGGACCCCCCTTCCTCCCATGACGGAGGGGGGGGGGGGGTTCGACCCCCCCCCCCCACTCCCCCCCCAACTTCTCCTCTCTCCCTCTCCTCCGGCCGGCGCCGGCGTCGGCGGCGGCTGGCGGCGGCGGCGGGGGTGCTGGTGGTGGTGGTAGTGGCGGTGGTGGTCGTGGTGATGAGATGGTTTGTGGTGGTTGTGGTGGTTGTGGTGGTGGTGGTGGGTTGTGCTGCTGGTAGTAGTGGTCGTGGTTGTGGCGGTGGTGGTGGTGGTGTGGTAGATTGTGGTGATGGTGGTGGTAGTGGTGGTGGGTTGTTGTATTGGTGGTAGTGATGGTAGTGGTGAGCTGTTGTGGTGGTGGTGGCTGTGGTGGTGGTGGCTGTGATGGTGGTGGTTTGGTGGTGGTTGTGGTGGTGGTTGTGGTGGGTGGTGGTGGTGATGGTGGTGGTCGTGGTGGTGGCGGTGGTGGTGGTGGCTTGGTGGTTTGTGGTGGTGGTGGTGGTGGGCTGTGTTGTTGTTGGTGGTGGTGCTGCTGGTAGTGGTGCTGGTGGTGTGTTGTGGGTGGTGGTGGTGGTGGTTGTTGTGGTGGTGGTGTGGTGGTCTGTGGTGACGGTGTTGGTGGTGGGTTGTGGTGATGGTGGTAGTTGTGGCGGTGGTGGTGATGGTGGTGGTAATGGTGTGGTGGTTTGTGGTGGTGGTGGTGGTTGTGGTGGGTTGTGGTGGGTCGTGGTGGTGCTGGTGGTGGTGTTGGTGTGGCCTTCGGCTCTTCCCGCCACTGTGTTTTGGCAAAGGGTCAGAGTTCTAATGGATGCCTGTTGAGGTCTCGTCAGAAGGTTCTCGGGGGCGTCTGAGGAGCATGCGGGAGCTCGACATGGCGATTTGGGTGTTCCCTCTGCGGTCTCTGGGCCCTCTCTGGTCATCGTCGCCGCGTCACCGCCGTCGGCGCTGCTGGCCGCCAGCGCCGGCGCCGGCGCCGGCGCGGGAGGGGTGGGGGAGTTTGAACCCTCCCCCCCTCCTGGGCTCTCTCGCTACGGCGGCCGCCAGCGCCGGCGCCGGCGCCAGGGGAGGGTTGCTTTGGACCGGGAGGGGGGGGGGGTGTTCGGGAGGGGGGTGTAGGGGAGTCCCCCTGGTTCTGATCGACGGCGCCGAGTGTTGGGGGGGGGGCCCACCCCCCGGTTCGAAACGCGCCGCCGATTGTTCCCAAGGCAAGAGTCCGTGAAACGCGCTCTCTTTTAGATGCTTGCCCCGATTGTTGATCCCAGAATCGATGAATAGAGAGTAAGGCCAATTAGTAATTAGATCGAAGGACGGATAATTCTACCCCAATGTGTATATATATATATATATATATATGAGACGTTCCAGAAAAGCCCTTGCATTCGAGGACCGAAAGAGGTGTCATCTCTTCGTCGCTGAAAGGCGGCGGCAGGGCGGCGGAAGCTCGCGGAAACAAAATAGAACGAGGGTGCCTCTGCCAACAGAAGCCGGTGGAGGTAACAAGAGCGCGCCCAAGAAATGACAACATTGTTGGGTTCAGAGTTTTCGGAATCGGCCTGATGTAGATATGCAGGCGTCAGTGAGTGTACGGCCCCTCCCGAGGCGGCCAGAGTGTAGGCCAGGGCCCAAGGAGGCCCTGGCGCGAGCGTCAGGCCCATAGAGGCCCTAGTGCATGATTTGGGCCCTAAGAGGCCCCCTGTGCAAGCCCCGTGCAGGGCTGGACTGAGAGGAGCGGGGCATCCCCGCCGAAGCTGTTATGGCTCGAAGATGATCCATCGAGTTAGATCGTCATCTCTGCATGGTGACAGATTGTGAGGTTGCCTGAACCTACCCTTCAGGCCAGTGGCGCCAGCGCGCCATGGCGGCCGACAACGGAGCAGCTGGGGTGCAGCTGCTAGATTCTCGTGGGATCGGCAAGGTGCCGACATTCTCAGGCAAGAGGGAGGGCTTCGAGGATTGGATCTTCCCGTTTGAATCCTTCTGCGGCCTGCTGGGCTGGACGGCGGGCCTGGAGCGGTCAAGAGACACTGAGGAGCCGCTGACTGCGGAAGACCTCGGCGAGCAGGGAGTGCTGGTAGGCAGGAGCTTGTACCACCTGCTGGCGAGCACCACGAAAGGCACGGCGCAGAGCATCGTGAAGCTCTGCCCGCGAGGCGACGGTTTCGAAGCAATGCGGAGGCTGTACAAGGAGTGCAGGCCGAGACTGAATGAGGAGCACGGCCAGATGCTCCAGCAGATCCTGACGCCGACGTGGTGGAAGGATCGCGAGGGTAAGGAGCGCATCACAGAGGTGCTGATCGCTTGGGACGAGGTGATCTCGAGGTATGAGCGCGCGACTGGAGAGCAGGTCGCGCAGAACATGAAGACGAGCACGATCATGGCCCACGCACCAGAGGAGGTGAAGGTCATGCTACGCTCGGCGCAGCGCGAGGTGCGCAGCGACATCACACAGATGAGGAACTGCATCTTCGAGGCGGTGATCGGCCAGAGCGGAGTGGTCTCGAGGCCGCCGACCGCGAACAAGGGGAGCAACGACATGGACGTCGACGCGATCTCCAAGGGAAAGGGCAAGGACAGCAAGGACAAGTGCCAGATCTGCCACAAGCCGAGCCACACGGCCCGCGACTGCTTCTGGCGTGACAAGGGGAAGCAGAAGGGCGACGGAAAAGGTCGAGGAGCAGGCGCGGGATCCAAGGGCGGAAAGGACGCCAAAGGCAAAGGCAAGGACAGCTACACCTTCACGGGGAAGTGCGACTATTGCCACAAGACGGGCCACAAGAAGGCAGACTGCAAGAAGCGGATCGCCGACGAGAGGGCCAAAGGCAATGCGGCCATCGAGCAGGGGGGCACGGACCCGAAGACGGTGGCCAAGATCGAGTACGCGGAGTACGAGTGCGGGATCTGCGACGACGACCAGCTCTACTGCATGGCGATGGAGGTGGAGGATCCTGAGACGGAGTGCTGCGGCATGGAGCTCGTGGAGACGACCTTCATCACGCTGGACACGGCGAGCGACTGCCACGTGGGGCCGACTTGCTTCGGAGAAGGATGCAGGAAAGGCGAGGATCGCGGACCAAGGTTGCTGGATGCGCAGCGGAATGAGATCAAGATGGGCTCCATTGCGACGGTGCCGATGGCGGTTGCTGACGACTGCGAGCAGCTGAAGCTGCTGAAGGCGGACTTCAGGCTGGGTGACACGGTATCGAAGCCAATCCTCTCGTTGCTGGAGGTGATGGACAAGGGTGCCGAGTTCTGGCTGAGCGCGAAGACGGGCATGTGCATGTGCCTTGGCGGTGACCTCAGCAGGGGCATCCCGCTCACCCGGAAGAACAACACGCTGGGATTCAACGCGGAGACCTTCAAGACAGCTACGGAGGCGAAGGAGTTCGCGGCCAGCGTGAACGCGAATGAGCAGCAGGAGGAGGCGTTCGTGCCGACGCCTGGGGCTGCGGGCAGCGGAGCAGCGACAGCGGCACCGGCTGCACCCGCGGCTGCCGCCTCGGATCCAGAGCGAGGCGGAGCAGCTGAGGGCGCGGGGGGAGAGCGACTGGCTCGACATCCTGTGCTACTACGCGAAGGGCAGGAGATCGTCCTGCACCCTTCCAGCCGCGTGGAGGACACGCGGGCGAGGCTCAAGGAGATGGGCCAGCCAATCTACGGCAGAAAGGACGAGCTGTGGGCTAGGCTCAGCGATGCGGAGCGGAGGCTCACGGCGCACCACATGAAGATGAAGGAGTTGGAGCGCAGGCACGAGGAATCCGTTCAGGGAGGACCCTCGATAGCACCACGAGAAGTAGCAGGGCCAGCAGCGCCCACGGATGCAGAACGAGCAGCTCATGAACTGCTTCACCTCACGAGGGCGCCGTGGTGCGAAGCCTGCGCGCGGGGGAACGAGACGACCAAGCCGCGCAAGACCCTGACATTCGATCAGAAGGACACTGGGAAGGCGCAGATCACCCTGGACTTCTGCTACCTGAAGACCAACGGCGACTGGGCGGAGATCGGAGATGTGGAGCCGCCAGCGGCGGACATCTTCGCGACGACGCTGGTGATGGCAGACAGGGACACGCTGATGTTCAATGCAGTCTCGATGCCCACCAAGGCGGTCACGGACTACGCAATAGCCAGCGTGAGCAGCTTCATCGAGGGCATGCATCTCACGACGGCGGACATCAAGACGGACGGCGAGCCCACGATCGTGAACTTGGTGGAGGAGGTGCGGAAGAGGCTGAACAAGAGCTTCAAGCTGGAGGAGAAGCGTGGGAACCTGAAGGACAGCCAGAGCATGGGCGCGATCGAGGCTCCGATCAGATGGTTTCAGGCGAAGGTGAGGACGTACAAATTCGACTTGGAGAAGCGCTATGGCATGAAGATCACGGCGGACGCACCGATCTGGTGCTGGCTTACACGATACGTTAGCTGGGCTACCTCTACGTACAGACCACGAGCCGATGGGAGGACATCCCATCAGGCAGCCTACGGAGTGACCTACAACGGAGAGATTCTCCCCTTTGGCGAGACGGCTCTCTTCAAGACCCCGATCTCCCACATGAGGCAGATCACGACCACGTCTCTGAAGCGCAAGGGCGAGTCGAGCTTCGTGAAGGGCATCTGGATCGGGAAGCACAAGGAGAGCGACGACCACTTGTTCTTGACGCCAGCAGGCTGGCACCGCGCAAGAACATGCAGGCGGCTGGAGCCAGCATTGCGAGCAGATGATAAGCTGATGAAGGCAGTGAAGGCCCTACCCTGGGACGCGAGGAGCGCTAAGCCGTGCGAGCTACTGCCCGGGATTCAGAGGCCGATGCCCACGATCGTTCTGACGGCGGCGGAGCAGAAGGCGAAGACCGAGGCGCAGGAGGCAGCACGCGAGGCGGCGCCACCCCGGGGGGCGCCCGAGAAGGGGGCGCAGCCGGCAGCAGCAGCGAGCGCGGAGCCATCGGCGGCACCCGCGGGACCTGGAGCTGGAGCAGCAGCGGCAGCGAGACCCGAGGAGAAGAGCACGACGGATGCGGACGTGCCGACGACACCGCGAGGTCTGATCAGACCTGCCGATGTTGAGGACTTCGGTGCACCAGGCAAGCGCGCGAAGCACGTGGACGCCATCTCGCTCGACGACCCTATCGACTACAGCATCCTGGACAGGATGGGCACAGACTGCTACATGACGGTCAGCGGACTGGAGCCCGCGGTGGAACTCAAAGGCAAGCGCGAAGCACTAGAGGTGCTGGCGCATTACGGGGCGCACAGGGACGTCCCGAGGAGCGAGAGCGGCGAGTTCAAGAGGATCAGGGCGCGCTGGGAGCCGCAGATGCGAGGAGGTATCTGCAAGTGGCGGTATGTGGCGCAGGAGTTCAAGTGGATGGAACAGCGTGACGACGTGTTCGCAGCGAGCTCATCAGCACAGACGAGCAGGCTGGTGGACTTCGTCAGCATCAAGGAGGAGAACCACGGGACCTTCATCGCAGACTGCGTGAAGGCGTACTACCAAGCGGACCAGACGGAGAAGGTTTGTGTGGAGCCACCTGCTGAGTATCTGGCGATCTTGGCGGAGATGGGCAAGCCGACCGATATCGTTTGGGCGCTCAACGAGATGCTACCTGGGCAGCGCGTGGCAGGCGCTGGCTGGGTAGACAAGGTGGCGAAGACTCTGAAGGGAGAAGGCTTCGACAGGAGTGAGTGCCAGCCGCAGTTTTACTACCACAGGGAGAAGAAGATCCTGATCGAGGTGCACATGGACGACTTCCACGGCGAGGGTCCAATCGGCAACCTGGACGGGGTCATCAAACGGCTGCGGGAGGTGTTCGACCTGAAGGCGACGGACGTCATCAGGCAGGGACGCTACTCACACCTGAAGCGTGACAGGCTGAGGCTCATGAACGGCAACATCATGCTGAGGCCGAACGTGGGGCATATTGACGACCTGATCTACGTGACGGGCATGGAGAAGGCCAAGCCAGCGAAGGTGCCAAGCTTGACTGAGGAGGACCCGACATGGAGCCCTGAATTGGACGAGATCGAGAGGGCGAAGTTTCGCACAGGAGTTGGGATCGCGCTCTACATCTCGCCCGACAGAGCGGACATCCAGCGGGGCGTGCAGCTGCTGACCAGGAACCTGAGTCAGCCGACGGAGTTTGACAGGAAGCGACTGGTGAAGCTGGTGAGGTACCTGAAGGGGGCAAAGACGTTTGGAGTGTTTTTGGAGAAGCCAACTGGGAGCAAGCCTGGATAAGTGAAGCTGCAGTTGTTCACAGACACGGACTTTGCGACGTGCAAGGAGACGAGGCGTGCGATGACCTGTGGGATCACAAAGCTGGACGGAGTGCACTTCGCAGCGTTTGCGAGGAGGCAAGGAGTTCAGAGCACATCCTCAGGCGAGGCGGAGTTCTACAGCGCGACCTCGGTGGTGATGGACGGCAAGTTGGTGAAGAACATACTGGAGTGGTTGGGCTACGAGGTGACCTGGGAGCCCGGGATCGACAGCAGCGCCGCGAAGGCGATGATCAACCGCGAGGGCGTCGGCAAGGTGAAGCACCTGGACGTTCGGGCGCTGTGGATCCAGCAGGAGCGGAAGGTCCACGGACTGATCATCAAGAAGGAGAGTGGAGCCGAGAACGTGGCCGACCTAGGGACCAAAGCGCACGCCACGGAGCGGTTCGAGTACCTGCGAGAGCTTGCTGGCATCACCGACTGCAGCGAGATGGACAAGCACAAGGAGCTGGAGGCATGCTCGGTGACAACGAGCGCCTGGGCTAAGCAAGGGTTGTTGGCGACACTGTTCGCGCAAGGAGCGACGGGTGGTGCGACCAAGTCATGTGAGTGTGCAGTGCGAGATCTCGACCAGAGTGCAGTTACCCTCTGGGAGGCTACAAAGCTGCAGGACTGGATCGACGACCACACGACACTGATCATCCTGAGCGTGATGATGATGACATCCGTGGCAGGTGCACTGCTCGGGTGTTGGATCTGCAAGAAGTGGACGACGACGAATAGCGCCACGAAGCTAAATCTGGTAAAGCATACGAACACCCTGAATCGGAGAAAGGAGCTGAGCAACAAGGTAAGGTTTACAGACAGGCCGACGACGGAGGAGAAGGCGAGTCAATCGCCGTGCACGTACAAGTGGAAGCACACGACGCCGAGGTTCATGGTTCTGCCCGAGGCGAGCCACGGGTGAGAACGAGCTTGCGGCCAATGGCAAGGTGAACGAGGTGATGTGCCTCGACGAGGCTCCGTGGGGGCGTGCAGGCGTCAGTGAGTGTACGGCCCCTCCCGAGGCGGCCAGAGTGTAGGCCAGGGCCCAAGGAGGCCCTGGCGCGAGCGTCAGGCCCATAGAGGCCCTAGTGCATGATTTGGGCCCTAAGAGGCCCCCAGTGCAAGCCCCGTGCAGGGCTGGACTGAGAGGAGCGGGGCATCCCCGCCGAAACTGTTATGGCTCGAAGATGATCCATCGAGTGAGATCGTCATCTCTGCAAGATATGTACGTGTCGGAAGTGGAATCGATAGATTGATAGGGAGATCGGTATATAGGCGCAGAGATCGTGAGACATATAGATCATGAACCGTGCCCGGCGCCGATGTCAAACCGGAAGTTGTCCCCCCGCTCTTCCCCTCCCACCCGACATACACCTTATCACCCGAAGGGCTGTCTTCTCGGTTGCTATATATACGTGTACGATATACGCATGTCCTATCTATAGCAACCCTCTATTCCATTTCCCTCTCTGTCCTCCCCTTCCTCTCTCCACATGCAGCAAGAGGGAGGGGGAGGACGGAGGAGAAGATGACGGGCGAAAGGCTGGAGCGACACGCTGAGGCACAGGTCCTGACCGCATGCAGGAAGGAAGTCGGGGAGGAGCTGGAGGAGGAGGAGGAGGAGGAGAAAAAGGAGGAGCAAGAGGAGGAGAAAGAGGAGGAGCAAGAGGAGGAGGAAGAGGAGGGAGGAGAGTAGCGCAAGAGGAGGCAGAGGGAGGACGGAGGGAAGGCCCTCGCCCTCGTGGGACGCTTGCCACCCGCTCCTCGCCCTCGGCCCTCAGACTCTGCCCTTCCCCCGCACCGGCGCCCCGCGCTCCGGTGCGGCCATGGCGCCCAGGGGAGGCAAGCCGCCGCGGCTGGACGAGGGGGGTTGGATCCCACAACGCTGCCCCTCCTCGTGGCGATGCTGCTGCTTCTCCTGCTCTGTCTCCTCCTCCTCCGAGATTTCTTCCTCTTCCTCGAGTTCCTCGATTTCCTCGTGGCGATGCTGCTGCTCCTCCTCCTCCTCCTCCTCCTCCTCCTCCTGCTCCTCCGCGACTTCCTGCATGCGGTCAGGACCTTTGCTTCAGCGTGTCGCTCCAGCGGCTCTGAACCACCACGCTCCGGCGCGGCACGCTAACCACGTCCGGGTCCCCAAGCGTCAAGGTCCCGAGTTTGAATCAGCCTCCGCCACGCGGAGCAGAGCGAGGCGCAGGCAACTTGCAGGGCATAGCTTTAAGTCGGGCCTGTCCCTCTGCAGGAGGAAGTTCAAAAATAGTCAAAAATAGTATGGGGACAATGTGTTGAGTATGTTTGGTCATTTTTGAGTATGTTTGATGCCATGTTTCAGTGCTTTCGTCCACAATCCCCCTGTAGGGGGACATGCCGGACCTAAGCATAGCGTGTCGTTGGGGCCGCCGCAGCGACACGGTAAGAACAGGTTCCTGACCGTATGGCCAGCGCGCAACAGCGTCAGAAGGTGGGGAGCTCAGAATTTCCAGCAGCAGTGGCCTCGAAAGACGGGAAGGCCCATGAGCCCCAGCTCCTCGCTCCTCTGCTCCTCTTCTTGCTTCATCCTTTGCCTGTTCATCCTCATGCCTGCTCGTCTTGCCCCCCCCCCCCCTCTCTTCATCCTGACCATCATCGTTGCTCATCGCCTGTCTTCCTCCTCTCACGTGAACCTCATTCATGCAAATGCTCTTGTTCCCTCCTCATCCTGTTCATCCTCCATGTCCCTCCTCTCCTGACCCACCCCCCTTCTGCTAACATTGTTCCGTCTGGCTCGTCTTCATACATGATCCTTCTCCTGGCCCTCTTGCTCCTCCCTGCTCTTCATCCTCCTGCTCCTCCGTCTTCTCCTGTTCCTAGCGCTACCCCTCATAATATTCGTCTCGTCTCGTCCTGCTCCGTATCCCCACTGTTCCTGCTCCTCCTACTCTTGGACGTCCTGCCCCCTCCTGGTCACATTCCCCCCGTCTCCTCCTCCCTTTTCTCCTCATCCCCCTCCTCCTTCCTCCTTCCAGCCTCCCTCTCCGTCCCCTTCCTCCACCACCCAGTCGTCTTGTCCTCTGGGGGCCCTCTTGGAGCTCTGTTTGACGAATTGGGGCCCTCTCAGGGCTCAGGGCTCTATTGGGGCCCTTTCGGGGTCCTTCGAAACATCCTGGACGCCATCGACCTAAACAGGCTTGTGTCCGAAACGAGCCCCCCCCCCCCCTCTCAGGAGCTCTGAAGATCCTCGTTGGCGGCGCGCGTGCTCTGCACTTGTGGTCCTGGGGCCTTCTTGGCGCCACTGCGGAGGTCATCGGTCGAAAAGAGTGTATCACCATTCGGCTCCCCCTGAGATGCTCAAGAGATCGCCTCTTCGGGCGCTCTTGCGGTGCCCTTAGTGCCTAGGGCTTCTTGGGGCCCTCCTGGGCCCTTCGTGGAGCTCTCTTGGAGCACCTTGGGACCATATTTGGGCCTTCCCAGGCCCATCGGGAGCGAAACGGTAAGAAGGCATACCACACTAATACGTTTATGTCTTTTGCAGTTGTGGCCCAGGGGACGTCCTTGGGAGGCTCTGTGGCCATCTCGAGCCGTTGTGGAGGCATGCTTGACGCCATAGTGAGCCAATCTGGGCCATCCTGCGCAATAGTCGAGGCCATCCTGGAGCGATCGGGGGCCAACTTGGACGCTATGATCCCCCCCCTCTGGTCCAGACCTGCGGTGATGGGGGCAGAGAGAGAGAGAGAGAGAGCGCGGGCAACCTCTCGCCGCAGGGGAAGAGGGGTGTTCAGCTCGTGGAAGGGCTCGTCCTCGGAGCGACGCCCTTGCGGCTGAGGGCCCTAAACAGCTCCACACAGCCCGCGGAGGGGGGGGGGGGGCATGCCGGGCCACGGAGTTCGGGGGCCCCAGCTCCCTCATTGGGTGCTTGACGCATGGCAGTGGACACCCATGCCAAGAAGCACCCTGCTCGCCTCCAGGGTGCCCTGGGTTTTTTGGGCTTCGATGGTTTTGCGAGAGCGTGACGCTCCCATAGCAAAAAGATCAACGGACGTCCTGGGGTCTCAGGGTTGGGTTTCTAGTGGAAGGTTTCTTGTGGTCAAGATCCTACTGTATCGAAGGGGGGTCGAAGCAAAACGCAGATCCTACAAATCGAGGTCGGTGTCGTGCTCGTGCCGCGCGCGCGCGTGCGGGCGAGGCGAAGCTGCGCGCGCGCGGGAGGAGTGAACCCGCGGGTGTTGTTGCGAAGTTCGCAAATGTGGTTCTGCCCGATGGGGTGCCTCGCGAGTGGTCCGTGGTTGTCCCGCGAATGTCCAGCGGTTGCTTCGCGGTTGTCCCGACAGTTGTTCTTATGGTTGTCCCAAGTATCCCGATCGCTACTAGATGAGGAGCAGCAAGTGAGACCGATAGTTCGATAGATAGGAAAGAGCGTGTTCTGGCGCTACTGGCAGAAAACCGGGGGGGGCGAGGTCACTGGGGGTTTCCAACCCGTCCTTCCCCCTCCCCCGAAAACCGGGGGGAGTTACTGGGGGTTCCAACCCCCCCCCCCGCGGTCCATCATGAAAAGGTGGAGGGGTCACTACCGGTTCGACCCCGCCCCACCCCTCTCCTTGCCGCCAGGGAACGACTCCCCCTCCTCCTCCACTCCGCATGGGGGACTGGTGGGGACAGTGGTTGGGACGGTGGTGGGGATGGTGGTGGGGAATGGAGGCAGTGGGACAGGTGGTGGGGACAGTGAGGACAGTAGGGAGAGTGGGACCGCGGTGGGGACAGTGGGGACAGTGCAACAGTGGTGGGGGCACTGGTGGGGACAGTGGGGACAGTAGTGGGAACAGTGGGGGCAGTGGGACAGTGGGACAGTGGTGGGGACAGTGGGGACAGTGGGACAGTGGTGAGGACGGTGGTGGTGGGATAATGGTGAGGGGACAGTGGGACAGGGGTTGGGACAGTGGGGACAGTGGGACAGTGGTGGGGACAGTCAGTGGTGGTGGGGACAGTGGTGAGGGCGGTGGTGGGGACGGTGGTGGCACCATGGGACAGTGGTCCAGGGGGGGGGAGTGGTGAGGACAGTGGGAGAGGTGGGACAGTGGTGGAAACAGGGGGGGCTGTGGCGCAGCACGGTGAGACAGCGGCGGGGACAGTAAGGACAGTGGGACAGTGGTGGAGACAGTGGGGGCAGTGGGACAGGTGGTGAGGACAGCTGGGACAGTGGGGAGAGTGGGACCGTGGTGGGCACAGTGGTGGGGACTGGGGGCAGTACGGGTTCGAACCGGTAGTGACACCCCCCAGTTCACCAGAGGGGGGTGGGGGGGGGGGTCTGCCGGAGGAGGGCGGGAGGGGGAGGGGGGGGCGCTCGAGCAGGGGAGGGGATATTTTCGGAGGGGGGAGGACCCCCGAGTTCTGGAGATGAAGGAGTTTGCCACAGCAAAGGGGCGGTGGATCACGCTCTCTCATAGATAGTGAGATTGGCATATTGATAGTGAGATTCGTGTGGGTCGATCTGATTTCCCAACCCTCCTGTGCTGGGTTCTCGTTTTGCATCGAGCACTCTGGTATTCCCTCTTCTCCTTCCCCTGATCCATCCTGCCTCCTCCTGCGCTGCTCCCTGGGAGGCTGCGAACTGCGCATGTGTCGCCACTGTCGTAGGCCCTCCTGGACGGTCCTTCCGTGGGCTCCTGGAGAGCTCGCTGCTGCCTGGCTGGATGCGAGCTGCGCACCCGTCGCCATTTTCATGGGCTCCTGGGGGCTCCAGCGGAGTGGAGGGCCATGCATTGGGCACCTCGCTGCTCCTTGGGTGGCTGCGAACTGCGCACCCGTCGCCACTTTCGGCTTCTGGGAGGTCCTTGCGTGGGCTCCTGGGAGGTCCAGCGGAGTCGGAAGCCATGCGGACCCATTGGGACATCGCTGCTCCTTGGGAGGCTGCGAACTGCGCAACGGCCGGCACTTTCGTGGGCGATTGGGGTGTCCAGAGGAGTCGGGGGGCCGCGCGGATCCAATCGAGACCTCGCGGCTC